TGCTCCCTGCTGCCGGGGACAGGGGCCAAGGAAGCCAAAGGACATGCTTAGCCCCTCTCCCGGGAAGTTGAGGCTGAGGGGAGGCGCGGGGAGAGAAGGACAGAGCCCCTCTTCCTCCCCTTTCCCCTCCCCAAGGCTCCCCCCCCCATTCATATAGCCTCTGTCCTGCCCCCTGACACTGTCCCAGCTCTGAGCCCACGGCCACTTCCCAGCAGTCCTGGGACAACCTCCGTCCCCTGCCATCTGGCCCTTTTCTCTGCTGCTGTTTGTCCCAGCAGCCCCAGGAGCTGCCCCCACAGAAGTGCTGGTGGAGCTGTGGTGAGTTCAAACCTCACCCAGAGCGCCAGGACCAAGTAACTTCCCCCACTCACGTTTCCCTGCGAAATACAGAATTACGGCCCAAGAGACACCGAGGAGTCAAAACCTGCAGCCCTCACGCGTTACCTCCCCAACAGCAGGAAGACAGGTCTGCAATCCTATCTACCCTGATTCCTCAAGAGAGTCCGGTGAGCCTTGACCCCCCTCTGGCTCCCCCTCAATCGGTGCCCCCCAAACCACCCTCTTGCACCACCCCAGGCTGTGACACCCAAACACAGCTGTGTTTTCTGTCTGCTGATGTGTGGTTTACATTATGTCTTTTCTCGACGTGGCTATGGGGCCTGTGTGATTTTTGTGGAGGCAGTGTATGATTTTTGCATATGTATTATTTTTGCATGGTGTGGCTTTATTTTCTTTTGTGGTTTCTTGGAGTGTGTGTGTGTGTGTGTCTCTGTGTGTGTGTCTCTCTCTCTGTGTCTGTCTCAGTGTGTGTGTGTGTGTGTGTGTGTGTGAGAGAGAGAGAGAAAGTCTGTGTGAGTGTGTGTGTGTGTCTGAGTGCGTGTGAGTGTGTTTCGGTGTGTGTCTGTGTGTGTGTGTGTGTGTGTGTGTGTCCCCTGACCGCTGGCTTCCGAAGATGTCGACCTATGAATCTGTTGGTGTCATCAGGCCTAAATGAACCAAACTTCTTCCATGCTTAAACTCTAATCGACCTCAAAAGCCAGGTGCAAAATGGAATGTGTAAGCAGCCAGTTATCACTTGCAACCCCCCCATACCGGTACCAAGCGGTAATAATGAGGCCTGCATGTTTCTGGCTGAAGGGGAGATAATAAATCAAAGGGAAAAAGGACAAGATAATGGTTTAAAGGAGTTACTAACAAGCTGGACTTATGGCCGCCAAGATGACTTAACTGCTTAAATGTAATTGCTATTTGCTTAGTAACTATTACCAGGGAAGGGTGGGCTAGAGGGAGGAAAGGGGGGGAAAGAGGGAAGTGCTTAGCTGCAAAATGTATAAAAATAGAAAAGTTGCTTATGATGGTGTGCTTGATCTGAGACGTGCCAGTCTCCTTGCACCGCTTTGGGATCCCAAATAAACTTTGATTGCTTCTCCACCCTGGTGTGTTTATTGGCGTGACGCACACCGGGCAACGGACGCCGCTGTTGCTGTCCTCGGGCACTCTGTGCCGGCAACAAATCTGTTCCTGCCAGGTGGAAGGAAGGGGCCCGCCCAGGTAGAATTGCCAGAGCTTACCAAAGATCTCCCTGTTGCCTTTCAGGAAACGTCTCAGAACAGATCCAGCCCTCTGCTCAAAGGACTGACACCCTGGCAGCACTTTTCCAACACAAAGTGTTTTCTTTATTTACTGTAACCAACTTGTCCTAATACAATTTAAACTTAAAATAAAGCAGAAACAGAACTCCCTTCGCACTGGTATGCAAGTGAAAGTGCCCAAGACTCTAGTGTCAGACAGAATAACTCTGTTTTCTGAGATAATTTGTATTTTAACATCAGACTTTTATTCTTCAACTAATCATTAATTTCCTGTTTCGTTTCATTTGCACTGGTAACAGTCACCTATTCAAAATCTGATCATATCTGTTCGTTTTCTCTTCATCCCCATTTCCACTTCGTGAACGCTTCGATAAAGTCATGGTTTAGATACTTTCCACTTCAGTGAGTTCATGTACATATATATCTGTCTTCTCCCACAAGTGTTGGTGGAAGAGGGTCTGACACTGAGAAAAAGCACCTCTATTCGAGTTTCACGTTTTTTAAAACTTTCAGAGTAGCCAGAGGTGGAGGAAAAACGGTGCAACTACATAATACACAAGCGCAAACCTAAGAGAAAAAAGCATGAATCAGGATTCAACATTTGAGTATCCTGCAGTCTAACCCTGGAACATTTCAAGCAGGCAGCCAGACAGGGATCCAGGGGGAAGGAATGTCCTCTAAAGGCACCAACTGTTTCTCTCTTTGCCTCATGAAACTCTGGATCCAAAGGGTAAGGGACGCTTGTTCCCAATCTAATTATGGGATTGTAATCAGTGACACTGAACTAGAGAACGTTGTTCTAAACGTAGTTTGAGTTGCACGTAGTTCTTCATCGCTTCCTTCACTGGTGTGAAAGCCAATCAGTGGGTGCCTGCTACTTCTATCTGAATTCTTCCCAAATCTTTGACTTTTGTCAGAGTAAATTCACACTTCTTTGGAGTAGAACTGTCTACCCACCCATGGGAAATCTAAGCAGTGCTAATGAGGAATGGCTTCCCCAAACACGCCCACTTCATTTCTTTAATCTGGTGGCACAGGTCTAAATTAGAAAACTAGATACAGGCCTGGGATCAGGATCTCGGTCAGCTAACATTCAACAGAGACTTCATTTTATACCTATTTTCAGCAACTACCAAGTGTGAGTTCATCGAAAATACCACTTCTATTGCCTCCTCATCCGCACAGTTAAGGAGAGTGTTTTCCAAATCATAGGATCAGCTCAGAGATATCTTCAGGAGTAATTTCCTGTTGGGCTTGGATCACAACTCTCTGGGAAATACAGGTTCATTTTGCCTAGTTCTAGGTCACTGACTGTGGAATCCAAATCACCTGAGAAAACACTGACCTAAACCACTGAACACAAACATTATCACATCTGTTTACTTCAGTTAGTTACACAATTTGGGTTGTGCTGTTGTTCACCATTTGAAAGTAGAGATTTTAAAACAGTGTTTCCTTGGTAGCATGTCCAATTGCTTAGCGTATCCTCTCCTATTGACGGAACTTTCTCCAGATGATCATGAAGGGGAGTGGGAAAAAGCAAAAAATTAAGTAAGAAATGACTTTTAGCAAATGGTCATATGTCTCTAAGTCCCCGATAATTCTGAGCTACATTCTGCCAAACAAAATTAATGTCCAGTTATGTGACCGAATAGAGAAAGAGAGAGAAAAGCGCATCTCAGAGAGGGATACAACATTTTCAGTTTCATATTAAGTAAAATTCCAGAGCCAGTTACATCTGATGACTCAGAATCAGGACCACCGATTCTCTCATCTCATTCTCTTCTGATCCGTTCAAATCTGCTTCAGTCAGTACTGTCTCATTATTACTGGGTCAAGTTATTTACAAAAGTTTCAGCATCATAATACCAATGTTCCCGTCTGAAACAATCCCAATTCCGGCGGGGAAAAACCCAGCAGTGACTTTGCCATGAAATGGAAACTGGGATTTAAACTCTGCATGATCACACGTTGTTTGAAGTCAATTCAAATTGCCCTTTAAAGTCTGAGACACTTTCATCTCCAGGCCTAAGAGTTGGATTCGGGATCAAAGAAATCAAAGCACCATTCCCAAGCAGCGAGACCTGGGAACACTGCATCACCTCACACTTCGGGAGGTGGAAAAGCAGCATGTGAAGAAGATAAACTCTGCACGGCTCATACAGAAGGTAACACTGCTGAGATGGTGGGGAAGGAGGGCATTCCTTTGATTCATCCCATTTCCCTCTGGTGTTAGAGAGGCTGAAATGACGGTTTACATGCCTCTGCCCCTGCTTAAATCTATTTTAAATGAGAAAAAATGGAACTAAAAACAACAACTGTTTAGCAACCAACAGGGCAACGTGAGAACTGGGAATGAGACAATTCTTCCCCAAAAGGGGAAACGTGCTGACGCTAGCGACTGCTTTGTAGTGGGAGGAAAAGTAGAAATACGTGCGCCAGGTCTGTTTGGTTAGACTAGGAAAACTGATGGAGGTTAGGTCAGGTCATGAGGAAATGTGCTACGTAATCTCTTCACTGCAAGAATAGTTGTTTTTACACATCAGGACAGCTAACTCGAGCTAGCTAACGCCACGGAAAAGCGGAGTGGAGATGAGGCCCAGGTAGATTTTAACTCGTGTAGCTTGTCAAGATTACCCCTCTGTCTCCCACCTCGGATTGATGGGAACAGGGACACACACTCCCATGACTCATAGGTAGGGGCCTTTTTTCGGGTTTTATTTTATTTAATTTCGCCGGGAATTTATCAGTGTTTATTACCACAGCGACAACAAAAAAGGTGAAAATTGGTGGAAAAAAACTATGAATCATTTTTCTGGGTAAATATTGGGGTTTATTTTGGTGGACAGAAGGATGGGGGGGAGTATTCAGTAGATTAATGCTTTGATGAATGGAATTCAGGGTGGTTTGCTGCAAAACTAAAACAGAACTCAAACCATAATGCCACCTCTGAGTTTAAGATAATAATATATCTCTAGTCACCACATAAAACTTGTTAGTTGAATAAACAGGTTACTGTTGAGACTCAGAACTAGTAGCCTATAAATATTTACATGTAATAATTGGGTCACACCATTTGGAGCGCACACACTCACCTTCATCCTTTTCTCCTGCTTTTGTTTTTTTAAAGCATTTGAATACGTACTTATGTCCTGAAACGTATTCGGAGGCAGATTTTCATTTTCTTCCAATGTTAGATCTTTAAAGCGTTATCTGCTAACAGCTTGACCATGTGAACGTAATGGGCGTGAGATTCATCAGTACCGGCAGATGCGCACGCACAGCAGAGCCTGTGAGTGCCTGTTTGTTTAGTGTGTGTGTGGGTGTGTGTGTGTGTGTGTCTGTGTGTGTGTCTGTCTGTGTGTGTGTGTCTGTCTGTCTGTCTGTCTCCCAGACGAATACAGAGCTTTCCTTCAACAGGCAGCTTTGCGTGTACACACAGACTTGTATTATCGGCATACGTCTAGCTCATACCATGTCTTGTATTTTCCTGATAAAACAAGTTATTTTTATTAATGAATGCTACAAAAGTAGGGTGAAAATGGGAGGGGGGGGCGGGAGAATAATACTTTTTGTAGAACCCACAAATTTTTTGGTTAAAATTTGGTTTCAACTGAAAACGAAGGGGCTTACTCTTAGGAAAAAAGGGGCTGAAAGAAAGGACGATGGGATTAACCCCAAAAGTTGAACTGCAAAAGGCAAAAGCAGGTAAATCACCTGGGATAGCTGTGGGCCCACAGTGAATCAAATGGTAAAATTATGAAAAAAATATATTTTGTCGGCCCTAGACAAGGTTTTCATGGTGTTTATCTCCCTTGCAGATTCTCTGATGGCTAGTTAGGGTTGAGCTCTGATGGAAGCCTTTCCCACACTCGGAGCATCTATAGGGTCTCTCTTCTGTATGGATCCTCTGATGTCTAATAAGGGCGGAGCTGTCAGCAAAGGTTTTCCCGCACTCGCAGCATTTATAGGGTCTCTCACCCGTGTGGATCCTCTGATGCGTAATAAGGACTGAACTGTCAGCAAAGCTTTTCCCGCACTCGCAGCATTTATAAGGTCTCTCACCCGTGTGGATTTTCTGATGTCGAATGCGGTGTGAGCTCTGCCTGAAGGTTTTCCCGCACTCGCTGCATTTATAGGGTCGCTCTCCGCTGTGGGTTCTCTGATGCGTAGTGAGGTCTGAGCGGTAACTGAAGCTTTTCCCACACTCGGAGCAATCATAGGGTCTCTCCCCCACATGAATTCTCTGATGATTAATAAGGGATGATCTGTCAGTGAAGTTTTTCCCACACTCACAGCATTCGTAAGGTCTCTCTCCGGTGTGGGTTTTCTGATGTCTAATGAGATCTGAGCGGTAACTGAAGCTTTTCCCGCACTCACTGCATTCATAAGGTCTTTCCCCTGTGTGGATTCGCTGATGTTCAGTAAGGGCCAAGCGATAACTGAAGGTTTTCCGACACTCGCTGCATTCATAGGGCCGCTCACCTGTGTGGATTCTCTGATGTCGAATAAGGTCTGAGTGGTTACTGAAGGTTTTCCCGCACTCACAGCATTCGTAGGGTCGTTCTCCCGTGTGCATTCTCTGATGTATGATAAGGGCTGAGCTCCGAGGGAAGGTTTTCCCGCACTCGCTGCATTCATACGGTCTCTCCCCTGTGTGGATTCTCTCATGGTTAATAAGGCCTGAGCGGTTACTGAAGTTTTTCCCACACTCAGTACATGTGTTTTTTCTCTCTTCCGTGAGGTTTCTCGGCTGGGCTGGGGTTTCATTGAGGTCTTTGTGCGTTTCCCAACAACGGATGGATTTACCCCCTCTCTTTCCTGGCTTGTTTGCCTTCTGCCTCTCTGGTCTAAGCTGTTTCTCACAGGCATTTCCCTGGTCATGACTCACGGGCACCTTCCCTTTGGATTTTTGCAGTGATACCCCCTGTGTTTCCACTGGCTCAGCATCTTCTTCCTGAGGTTTCTGCTTCTCGGTCTCACCCTCCATCCCAACACCTAGCAGGGAAAGAGACAGAAACCTCAGAAACGGAAAAGGGGAGAACAAACCCAAGAAACATCTAGAGACATGGGAAGGAAATCAGGAACTGAAATCCCCAAACACTTCCCCATAGGGGAGATAGGAGGGATCAGTTCTGCCCCCATAACCCATCAAAATACTCGGTGGGAAGAGAGATCAGGAGGGAACCATTGCCCAGTGTCAGTCAGGGTGAGTAGGAGCAACATCTGCCCTGAGGATCCATCACCTGCTGGGAACAATCCTGAATGTTGAGAGCTCCCAAGGTCTTTGTAGGGAATCCCAACAGTTTCTTTCAGACACCAACAGTTTTTGACTTGGATGAATGATTTCTCATCCAGGTAGTCAATGTTAATGATCTCTCTTTCTTCTGGATTCCAGCGGAGGGCAACAAAAATGATTAGGGGGCTGGAGCATATGACTTATGAGGAGAGGCTGAGGGAACTGGGATTGTTTAGTCTGCAGAAGAGAAGAATGAGGGGGGATTTGATAGCTGCTTTCAACTACCTGAAAGGGGGTTCCAAAGGAGGATGGATCTAGACAGTTCTCAGTGGTAGCAGATGACAGAATAAGGAGTAATGGTCTCAAGATGCAGTGGGGGAAGTCTAGGTTGGATATTAGGAAACACTATTTCATGAGGAAGGTGGTGAAGCACTGGAATGGGTTCCCTAGGGAGGTGGTGGAATCTCCTTCCTTAGAGGTTTTTAAGGTCAGGCTTGACAAAGCCCTGGCTGGGATGATTTAGTTGGGGATTGGTCCTGCTTTGAGCAGGGGGTTGGAGTAGATACCTCCTGAGGTCCCTTCCAACCCTGATATTCTATGATTTGGAGATGTGGGACCCACGGCTCTTCCCCTTATTCTAGCTGGGGTGATCACATCAGTTTTAGAAACTGGAAACCCCGCTCAAGGGAAAGAAAACAGGTGAATTCATAATTCGTCCTGCAAGTAAGTGTGTGTGTGTGTGTGTGTGTGTGTGTGTGTGTGTGTGTGTGTGTGTGTGGGGGACAACTTTCTGATTCAGGAAACAACTAGAGGGTCAACCATTTTGGATCTGGTTTTGACCCACAGGATGAATTAGCTGCAAGTGTGAAGGTGGTTGGGAACTTGAGAGGAAGGGGTCATGATCTGACAGAATTCAAGATCCTATGGAAAGGAGGACACGAGACCAGCGCAGAACAAGGACACTGGACTTCAGAAAGTCAGATTTCCACCGAGTCACAGACACAGCAGGCAAGGCCCCAGGGAGAGACCAGGGGAAAAGGAGTTGAAGGAGGTGGATAGTTCTTAAAAGATGTAACATTAGAGGCTCAACATCAAGCTATTCCGAGGCAGAGGAAAGATAAGACGAGCCACGGGAGGCCAATGTGGCTGCACAAGGAGATTTTTAGCTGTCTAAAACCCAAAAGGGGATACGTACCGGCCAGGGAAGGAGGGGCATGTCACCAAGGAAGTCTACACGGGACTAGCATAAGCGTGTAGGGATGGAAATCAGGAAAGCCAAGCCAAAGAATGCATTACAGCTGGCAAGCAATGTTAGAGACAACGGCTTCTTCAAATATATCAGACAAAAAAGCTCGATCGGGGACGGTAGGGGTCCGCTGCTCAACGGAGAAGGTGGGCTGGTAATGGGAGATGAGAGGAAAGTAGAGGAGCTCAGGGCCTACTTTGCTTCAGTCTTCTCACAAAAAAAAGACCACGTGACCGGACGACTAGCAAAGTTACCACAGAAAATAAAGGGGACGGGATGCAGATCGGGCTAGGCAAAGAACACGTCAGAGATTCTCCGACCCATTTGAAAGAATTCATAACAGAGGGGTGCTGATGCTAGTCACCCCGGGGTGCTGACGGAATTAGCTGAAGAAATCTCAGCGCCACTGGCAATAATATTTGCAAACTCATGGATAACAGGAGAGGTCCCGGAAGACTGGAAAAGGGCTAACGTGGTGCCCATCTTTAAAAAGGGGGGAAAGGAGGAGCCAGAGAACTACAGACCGGTCAGCCTGACTTTGACACCTGGGAAGCTGCTAATTGCGAATACCTGGAGGATGAAGGGGGTGATCACTAGCAGCCATCACGGATTTACTAAGAACAAATCCTGCCAAACCAGCTTGATTTCCTTCTTTGACAGGGTAACTGGTGCATAGGGGGAATGCGGTCGATATAATATACCTGGACTTCAGCAAGGTTTCTGACACAGTCCCACATGCCATTCTGATAGATAAGCTGGAGAAATGCGGGTTCGGTGGAACTACCATGAAGTGGATACAGAATTGGTTAAATAACCGCATGCGAAGAGTAGCTATTAGTGGAACGATGTCAGGTGGAGGGAGGTCTCAAGTGGGGATCCACAGGGATCTGTTCTGGGTCGGTGTTGTTTAACATCTTTATCAATGACCTGGATGTAGGACTAGGGAGCAGACTGATCAGGTTTGCAGATGACACAAAGCTGGGGGGGCGGGTTGCCAACACTTTGGAGGATAGCGCTAAAATTCAGAGGATTCTTGATAAATTGGAGAACTGGGCTAAGGCCGACAAAATGAAATTCAACAAAGACAAATGTCATGGGCTACACGTAGGGAAGAAAAACCAAATGCACGAATACAGAATGGGGGATAACTGGCTTGTCTGCAGCGCTGCTGAGAAGGATCTGGGAGTTGTGGTGGATCACAACTTCAACATGAGTAATGCGATGCTGTTGCAAAAAAAGCAAATGCAATGTTAGGTTGCACTAACAGAGGGCTAGCATGCAAGTCACGGGAGGGGATAGTACCACTCTACCTGGCCTCAGCTGGAGTAGTGTGTCCAATTTTGGTCACCACTGTATGGAAAAGAGGTAGAGAAACTGGAAAGGATCCAGAGGCGAGTGACAAAGATGATGAAAGGGATGGAATGCAAGCCGTGTGAGCAAAGGCTGAAGGAACTGGGTATGTTTAGTTTGGAAAAGAGGAGATTCAGGGGTCTTCAGATACTTGAAAGGCTGCTATAACAAAGATGGAGAAAAGTTGTTCTCTCTTGCCACACAGGGCAGGACAAGCGGCAATGGGTACAACCGACAGCACAGGAGATTTAGATTAAATCTCAGGAAAGACTGCCTAACCGTGAGAACAGTAGGACGATGGAACACACTGTCTAGGGAGGTCCTGGAAGTTCTTTCACGGGAGCTTTCCAAAAGGAGGCCGGTTAGCATCTGTCTGGGATGGTTTAGATACCACACATCCTGCATCCTGGCAGGGGGTCAGACTAGGTGACCCTTGTGGTTGTTTCTAACTCTCTGGTGCTATGACATTTCTCACAAAGAACGTTCCATTATTTTAACCCGAGCCCATTTTAAAGCAGTAACCTCCGGCGGCCAGCTCTGCGGGTGCTCAGATGTGCTGCCCACTCTGCTAACGAGCCACACACACACACACAGAGCCAGACACGCCTCATCAAAGGCACTCCTGAAGGACAGAGCGGGTAACTCCATGTCCCAGAAAGGCAAGACTCCAGCCAGAGGGAAAGTCTCCCTGGAACAGACAGCGAGAGAGTCCTCGGGAAGCCGGGCTGGCTGAGCATGGGCCGGTGGGGTTCAGAGTGGTGAGGAACAAGAAGTCGCTGAATGCAGTATGCCAAGGGGTATGTCGGTGTCAGGAAAGTATGTGTTAATGAATTAGGTTACTTAGCCATTCCGGAGTAGCTGGAGGGAGTATGAAAATCCCCCGCCTTGTGGAGAAGGCTGGGGATTTACATGCTGTAATTCACGAGCAAAAAGACAACTTCCTCTGGAACGGGAGAATGTGAAAAATACAACTTGTGCCACATGATCTTGGTAGGGGCTGATTCACAGATCCCAGGCGCCTGCCAGGGAGAGAGGTTGTGGCTGCCGCAGAAGGGGAAGATGAATCAGCAGGCGTTGCACTACCGACCTACGACATCGTCGAGAAAGTGCACGTTTTGGCCAGGGAAGAGATCGCTTTGTGACTGGGGAGAATGTAAGGACTCAGGAATGATAACCGGGGGTCCAAATGGATAGGGGAGACGTGTGTGTGTGGGGTGGGGGAGGTATTGAGCAGTGCCGGGAGGGGAGGAGTGAGCATACGAATATTTTAAAAGTAAGTAAACTAATGTGAAACTGGACTGGAAGAAGAGTGAAGCGCAGGCTCTAACTCAGTGGGGTCTGGGCAGGAATTGTGTGTGAATGGACTGGGATCCCCCACAGCTCCCCTCTCCCCACCAAACCTTCCTCCCACCCTCCCCTCTTCCCAGGTGTCCCTGCGTCTCTGTTAGTTCTCGGTCGCCTGAGTTCAGGCTCAGGAGAAGCTCTGCTGATCTAGCTTGAAGCTTTAGGTAAACCAAGGCAAACCCCCATTCCATTGTCTAGGACGCACCTGAGGCCTGGTCTACACTAGGCTTTTATGTCGAATTTAGCGCCGTTATATCGAATTAACCCTGCACCCGTCCACACCACGAAGCCATTTAGTTCGACATAGAGCCCTCCTTAAATCGATTTCTGTAATCCTCCACAACGAGAGGAGTAGCGCTAAATTCGAAATGGCCATATCGAATTAGGCTAGGTGTGGATGGAAATCGACGGTAATAGCTCCGGGAGCTATCCCACAGTGCACCACTCTGTTGACGCTCTGGACAGCAGTCCGAGCTCGGATGCTCTGACCAGCCACACCCCGGGAAAATTTGAATTCCTTTTCCTGTCTGGGCAGTTTGAAGCGCAGTTTCTGTTTGGACACCGTGGCGAGCTCAGCAGCAGTGGCAGCAGTGGCAACGATGCAGAGCTCTCCAGCAGAGATGGCCGTGCAATCCAATAGAAAGAGGGCCCCAGCATGGACGGATCGGGAAGTCTTGGATCTCATCGCTGTGTGGGGAGATGAGTCCGTGCTTTCCGAGCTGCGCTCCAAAAGACGGAATGCAAAGACCTATGAGAAGATCTCTAAAGCCATGGCAGAGAGAGGCTACAGCCGGGATGCAACGCAGTGCCGCGTGAAAATCAAGGAGCTGAGACAAGGCTACCAGAAGACCAAAGAGGCAAACGGACGCTCCGGATCCCAGCCTCACACATCCCGTTTCTACGAGGCACTGCA